ACTGTCAGGTTGATTCTGATACATGACATTCTCATGTATTATTATGGGGTTGAATTGCTCCGGAGGTATTTCTAACCTGTAAGCAACCTTGACAGAAAGAGATCAACAAGCTTTTCTTCCACAGTGCTGACAGGTGGATTTGAACCACCAACCTTTATATTTTCAGTCAAGCACAAAACTTTTCACCTCATTCCATATGCCTTCTCATCCACAATGTCACTGCTTTCCCTTTATGTACTTCCCTCAGCTCCTAAGAGGGAAAGCAGACAAGGCAAAGACCTCCAGACAAGTAAGAAGCTTACCCCCCTTCCTCTCAACTGCTGTACTGAAGCACAAAAAACAAACCCACTCCAAAACAAGTTAACTCTCATTTCAATCAATTCATTAAAGTGAGTCCACAGAGCTTCAAAAACTGGAGGCTTTGAGGTGATCTGACAATACACTGCTCACAAACTGAGGAAGAGAACTCACTAAATCAACTGGCAAAGTGGGTCTGCCGCTGCAGTCAGTGGCCTGCGGGCAGAAAACAGCACGCTCTGGGCTTCTAATTAATTTCTAGAGGAAGAAAAGGTTGAGAGAAGTGTCCTCTTGATTTTCTCGGGAGCAAAAAAAGAAAAAGCAAGGTCCTCACAGATGAAGCCCCCTTTTGATGTTTGCCTCCTAACACTTCTTTTTTCCTGACGTAGAATGACGTCCGCTCAGGCTTCTTTTTCCACAGCTGAGGGCCCACTGCCCACCCCACTCCCGCCTCTGTCCCTCCATCCTTGCCAGGCAGTGGGAGGACCCAGGTCAGCTCTGACTTCACCAATAGCGTCCCTAGCATCCTAATAGCTGCCTGACCCATCTGTTAAGAAGCCATTTAAAAAAAAAAAAAAGCAAGCCATACAATTCCTCCCTCAGAAAGATTCTTATCTCCAAGACACAACTGAATAAAGGCTGGGCAAGGAGAGAGGGCCAGGTCTGAATGTGCAACACCTCCTCCAGGATGTCAGATCTGGGAAGCCAGCATCGCAGGCCTTTCCTTGAAGGGCACTGAACAACCTGCATCAGGGGAAGCACTGCAGTAGGCACACATGCAACATTAGAAGTCGAAGACGTCTTGGTCAGTCAGCAGGAGGCTAACCCAGGGAGCCCAGAAAGGGAAAGTGGTTAGAGAGACACCAATATGAAGTCGGGTCTAGACAAGAAAAGAGGTCGCGCAACCCCCAATGCCGTCCAGATCCAGGACACAAGTCTGCCTAGGGCCTGTCCTCAGCCCCTCCAAGCCTAGCTCACACAGTCTGACTCTCCACTCATCTGTGAGGACTGTCCCACACTACACCCCCAAACTCTACCCTTACTCTCCCTACTCTCCTAGCGTACCCCCAGAGCTGTGAGCTTTCCCCCCCAGAGTAGATATGTTTCTCCAGTAGAAAAAAGATGGCATGATCCAATTACTTCATGGGGGAGAACCTAAACCTCCTCCCTACACCCCAAAGTGGAGGAGAGGTGAAGGAGTCCCGTCCTAAGGAGTGTGAGTGCCTGTGGGGAGGGCCTCCCAGCCCTGCACACCACCACCCAGATGAGACAGATGCCTGCCCTCACCCTGCAGACATCCCACAATGCCCCCTTCTCCACTCTCAGACTCAACCCTGCTGCCGAACCACCACCTGGAGCAAGGACAGCACACTGCAATAAACGCATCTTCCATTTCCACAAAGGGAAAATCTTGGGTGAACTATTGCAAAGAATCTAGAACTTTCTTCCCAGATTGTGCATTCTTCCTGCTCCCCCATCTTCCCAGGGGAACCAGCCCCATTGTGAATATGTCTCTTTCTTCAGTTGCTTCCTTCTCTTTGGACCCCATTAAGACAGTGCAAGCAGCACCCCATTCCCTGGACTAGGGGAGCTTAGGGCTGAGGTTGAGAATAGAGGAAAACAGGGAGCATCTGCTAATGGGTATGGGGAGTTTATTAGCATATTCATCCTGGTGATGGCTGCATAATTGTGTGAATGTACTAAAAATCATTAGAGCTCTGATAGCTTAGTGGTAAGGAGTTGTTCCAACCCAAAGGCACAGTGTTCAAATCCACCCACTGTTCTGTGGGAGAAAGATGGACAGTCTCCTGCCATGTGACTAACTGTCCTCTGAAAACCCACTGGAAGGTCAGCTATGAGTCGGTTCTGCCTCAAGAGTGTAACAACAACAACAAAATCATTAAGTTGTATGCTTTGAATAGGTAAATTGAATAGTATGTAAATTCTATCTCCACAAATTGTCACACAAACAAACAAAAGCCTCTCTCTGGAAGGCAGGCCATGACTCAGGGTCTGAACTAGTGAGGAGTCACACCTGAGTCCCCAGTGCCCCCAGGTCTGTGTGTGGTAAGTCACATATACATGATCACCAGCAAGATCCACCATGCTCACCACACCCCACAGGTCCCAGAAGGAGGAGTTCAGTCAGGGTGGGATACTGCTGAGTTCCAGCTACTCAGAAGTGAAAAATAAAGCTTCCAGACCTGCCCAAGGTCACTCATGGAGTATCTTATATGGACTTCTTGTCTCTCTCCTCCACACACCAAGCGGCCTCGTCCCCTACCTAACAGGTACCAGTATCATGGTTTAGCAAGAACTGAGCAGGCGAGACTGCAGCTGCTGAAGAGGTGCTGTGAACTGAATAAAATTAGGAGGTGAACTTGAAAGAGAAACATCCTATATTTACATAATGTGCGGGGCTGGAATCTCCTTTCCCACAGCCATCTCTCACAGAATCTGAGAGAGAACTGCCCGAGGCTTCCTAAGGCCACCTCAGTAGAAGAGAGGGGTGGTCAGTGTACTGGGGAGAGGAGAAGAATCATGAGGGAGGGCAGTGACAACGCCAGCGAGAGTGGCAGCCAGTATAACTCACGAGAAAGCCAGGATCCCAGTATCTGAGGACATGTGCTTAGTACCCCCCCCCCAGGTGACAGCAATAAACTCCATAGGCGGTGGTGTGGCTAGGGCACAGGGCTGCCTTCTCAAAGTGCACAGAACTCCGACTCCACTCGGGTAAGACAGAAGAGAATCAATCAACTGGAGGCTTGTTGAGAGGCCAGGAGCACAGGAAGCAAAAGGAGTCTCTGGCCTCAGGCAAAAGTGGAAAGGAAGGATTTGTACATCTGCTTCAGAAGGGAGCTTGCTGCCCACAGACAATTACTTCTCTGATTTCAAAGGGGCAGAGGTTGGGGGGGGGGAGCAGAACATGAGAGGGGGAGATCCTCACCATATAAAACTCACCAACTCACCTTCTCATAGCTCACCATGCCATCTGCCTTTTGTATTTGGGAGCATGGACTGAACCACAGTCCATTCCTCCAATTCCTGTCAGTGTCCAGAGCCAACCCAGCTGATGAAAAGAGATGCTGGGTAAACTTTGCTACCTGAGAGATACGACAGGAGCCTGTAAAAACACTCCCTCTCAGGAGCAGCCCGATTCTAACAGCTGAGTTTTTACAGTATGAAAGTACCCACACTGGGTGGATGTGACTCAGTAAAACTTGCTGAGAAGTATCATCTTTTCTAAACACCCCACAGAATCAAGGGAGGAAATTAACCAGTTCTTTCAGGTGCCTAGAAATTTCCATACGCCTCTGTTTTTCTTCTTCAGGATGTAGGTGATTAATATCCACAGCAACGAAGGAAGGAGGTTTTCAGGTCAAGAAAGATGGCATCCAGGGTGCCAAGATGAAGGAAGGATGTGTGACTCGGGGTGGGAGTCTGCTGGGCCACCCCAGATGCAGGACAAGCCTGGGGCGTGGTCATGGTTACTAGGCCAGAGCCTGCCTACACAGTGTGCCAGAAACAGAGCCATCTCCTGGGGCAGGACTCGTTCCCTGAAAGGACTCTGTGAACCACGTCTAGCCATCAATCAAGAAGGAACTGGGGACAAAGTTACTTTGCACTCTCTGGGTCTGTCCTTCCTGAAGTTGCGAGCAGACAACTCCAGTTCCCTGTGCCCCTTACCAACACTTGTCAAAGGGCTTACTGGCACAAGGTGGGAGCAAAAGGCAGGTTCAACAGCAAAATCAAACCCACTGTGGTAGAGTCCTAGTGATCCGTCAGCAGATTCCCAAGGCTATAAAACCTGCCTGGGGTATATACATATTGCCTATCTTTCTCTCTTAAAGTGGTAGATAGATTTGAACTCCAGACTTTGCACTTAGCAGTGCAGCCTATAATCAGCTACACCAAGAGGGCTCCTAAAAAAGGAAGGTCAAGGTGGGCAAAGACAGAAATTGAACTGTGGGTTTCTCCTCCTGGTGAGGAAGCAGTCCTAAAACTCTCCCCACTGGAGGTACTGAGTTTAGGACCTTGGCTGAAGTGTTAACCCCAAGGGCTCTGCCTACAGGGTTTAAAAAAAATAAGTCTTCTGATCTTGGTAGGAAAGATAAACATCTTACTTGGCAGAATGCACTGAAGAGACGCCATCTGCACTTGGTCACCACATTATGGAGAAAGCTTTTTTCCTTCTTCCCCCAGAAGCATTCTTTCCTTCACCATCCCCTGCCCAGCACACACTCAAACCGCCCCTGCTTCACTAAATCAGCTGGAACGCTTTCCACTGCTCCACCATTGGTCAGTTTCCTCTTCAGAAATGTTAACTCTCCTTAGACTCAGGAAACCAAATGCCACAAGAGCCTCCACCAAAACGACCACATGCAGTGAAAAGTGATTCTCAGACTTGGATCCATCGTTACAGAATATGTCAAATTCTTAGAATTCGACCCCAGGGACCCAACCAATCTTTCCTTCGCAAACCTCCTTAGCACCAAAGCACGCTTTCCTAGTGCTGAAAAATCGGAAGAGAGTACCAGGAGGCTCTGGTTTTTCACACGCACACAGTCAAAAAGTACAGGTGAAATTGTCTCCAAAAGAGAAGCAGGAAGCGCTGATGGGAAAAGAGCAGGAGGGAAAGGGAAGCGCGTTCAGAGGGGCGAGACGAGGGGACCTGGGACAGGCTGGGGTGCTCGCTCACTCACCTGTGGATGTTCATCTCCCTCGGAGGGCGGTGGGCCTTGTCATAGGAGACCTTGGCGAAGACGCCCGCCACGATGACGAAGGCGATCACCCCGCAGGTGATGTAGACGGTGAAGTTGGTCTTGTCCTTCTCCGGGTCGTACTTGTTCTCGGGCCCCGGCGACACCACCCGGGTGCTGGGCGTCTGCACCCAGACGGGGCTCTGGTAGTTGGTGCACTGGCGCTGGTCCAGCTTCTCGTGGCGCTTCTTGCAGCAGAAGCGGTAGTAGCAGGTGCCGCAGCAGTACAGGTAGCCGCTCTCGCTGTTGTTGCACTCGAACTCCTTGTCGTACTGGCCGCTCACGTCGTAGTAGCCCCAGCACGTCTCGTAGGTGACGGCCGCATTGGGTGCCGCCGCTGCCGCCGCCACGGCCGCCGCGGGC